ATTCTGAGAACCGAATTCTGTTAATCAGCCAAGTTACAAAGATACTTTAAAAGTGGCTCAAAATCAGGTCTCTTGGTGGTAGCATACTCAATGTTCTGGGTTCAATCCTCAGGACTGGGGGATAGGGGTGGGGAGGGGATCAGGTCTCTTCCCCACCCAGATACTTTTGCAATTACTTTAAAATGACAAAAATAATATAAACAAATGTTTTTCAGACAAGTGCAGTGGCTCAGATCTGCAATCCCAGTTACTCAGGAGCCTCAGCCAGGAGAACTAAAAGTTCAAGATCACTCCAGACATTTTAGTGAGACCCTGTCTCAAAATAAAAGTTTAAAAAGGAATGGGGACTGGGGGCTGGGATTGTGGCTCAACAGCAGAGCAATCATCTAGCATATGCAAGGCACTGGGTCCGATCCTCAGCACCACATAAAAATAAATAAATAAAATAAAAGTATTGTGTCCAACTACAAGTAAAAATAAAAGATAGCTCAGTGGTAAAGCACTTATCTAGTGTATGGTTTAGAAATCAGGTGTCCCCAAAAAGTTCTTGCGTGAGACAATATAAGGTTTGGAGGTCATATGATTGGGTTATGAGAGCCTTAACATAATCAGTGAATTAATCCCCAGATAGGAATCAACTGAGTGGTAATAGAAGGCCAGGGTGTGGCTGGAGGAGGTGGGTCCCTGGGGGCGTACCTTTAGGGTTTACTTTGTGTTGGTAAAGAGAGCTCTCCCTGCTTCTTGGTGGCCATGTCCAGACTTGCGTTTCCACCACACCCTTCTGCTATAATGTTCTGCTTACCTAGAGCCCAAAGGAATAGAGCTAGCTATCTATGAAATCAGACCTCTGAAACTGTGATCCCTAAAATAAACACTTCCTCTTTTAAATTTTCTTGTCAAGTCTTTTTAGTAACAGCTCCAAAAAAGCTAACTAATAAAATACCTAGCATGCATGAGGCCCTGGGTTCAATTCCTAGCACAAAATAAATAACAAATGATTTTCAAGTAAATACTCAACATTGTGATTTTTTTTTTTTTTAATCTTTTGAAGAAACAAGGACTGTCTTTCAGGGGAAAGCTAGTTCCCAACAATAAACCAAAAAGAAGCTGACCATGTTTTGCTTAAAATAAATTGAAATACAAAATATCACTGTAGCTCAGTGGTGCACTTGCATTGCATAAACAAGCCACGAGTTTAATCACCAGCACCACAAAAAGAAAGAAAAGAAAAAACAAGCCATGAAAACAAACAGTAGCAGTGAAATGACAAATAGAACCCAGTAATAAATTACAGATTAATGTGACTTTATTGTCTAACAAGGTTAAAATAACATACTTAAGATTGAAATTATATTGACAAGCTATTTTTAATTTGTCCACCCCTTTCTCAACAGGCATGGTTACAATGTTATTCTTTCCATGAGGCTCTACATGGGGGTATGTGGAGGAGGCTTCTATTCTTACCAGTTAGAAAAACTTGTCTTTGTTACAAAACCTGATCTTTTCCTTTCCTGTCTTTGGCTTCCAGGAAGGAAGGGAGGCTTGAAACATTTAAAAGTTTCAAAGTTAAAAATTTTCCCTCCTGAAAGATCAGTAGCTCTGGAACTGTGGTAGGACTCCTACACTAGTCACTGCTATATGTAAAAGTGGCTGTGTGTTTGTTTTGATTGAAGCCAGGAGAGCTTTACCACGAAGCCAAGTTCCCAGATCTTTTCTTTCTTTATTTCTTTTTCTTTTTTTAATTTTGAAACAAGGTCTAGCTAACTTGCCTCAACCTCCCTATTAGAGGCACTGGGATTTTTTTTTATTGGTTATCTTCTGTCTTAATGCAGGAGGGCCCACTTCTTCATAAAATAAAAAACTATTGCACATTAAAAAGTTAAAATATTTTTGACTAGGCAAAAGTTTATTAACTTTTCATTTTAAATGTAGTATCAGAAGACAGAAAATAAAACTTTAGGATACAGTCCCTATCATGGAAGGATTTTTAAAATCACTTACAAATCTTACTGTTTTAAGAACTACTTACAGTGTGTCTGACTTGATACAATAGATACATTTCTAAAAACATATTTTTAGGGCTGAGGGTACAACACAATAGTAGAGGGCTTGCCTAATATATGTGAGGTCCTGGATTTGAGCCTCAGCTACACAATAAATAAATATTACATTTTGAAGGTTTTTTTTTTCTTTTTTTAACATTTAAACTTTTTTTAAAATATTTTTTTAGTTGTAAGTTGGACAGAATATCTTTATTTTATTTATTTATTTTTATGTAGTGCTGAGGTGAGTGCTCTACCTCTGAGCTACAACCCCAGCCCCTAAACTTCTTTTTTATCACAATTTTATAAATAAATTCAAACACATTTGATTGGGGTTGACTTTCAACGTATAACAGATCTTAACTAACTTCTTTGATTTAGGAAAAAACAGAGATATAAATAATTTCTAAACATCCAAGCAGATGTTCCATGATGCCTCTAGAAAGTATGCAGAAATAATTATAGTAGACTATCAGTTTTACCTAAAATAGCAACTTCAAATTATTAAAGGAGTTATAGAGTTAAAATGTAAACAAATACATTTAACTTCTTTAAGAAATTAGTTTCCATTGTCCAGGACTTCTAACTCACAGACCAACTTTCTGAGAGATAGAAGCAAATTTCTCCTACATTAAATTTTAGGTTTACAGTAGTCATGATCATGTTCCATATAATTTTTTGTTTTGTTTTTGGTGCTGGGAATTAAACCCAAGGCCTCACACATGCTAAGCATAGACTCTGTTTCTGATCTACACCCCAGTCCCCAAAATAAATTTTTTTAAAGTTATAGAAAGTATCCCTTTTTCCAAAACCATGTAACTGGCCCCAAAATAGTTCTTTCTAATTATTAGTGAATTTATAAAATTCAAACCACTTCACAGTTAAGTCTTCAGATAAGTTAGGGAAACAATCCAGCTTTCTCATTCAGTTCCTTCCTCTGAGCTAGAATGAGGATTCAATCTCAAATTGCTGTTCCAAGCTACAAAACAATGAAATACCCCACTAAAATAACTCTAGAAGTTGACATGGAATACAATAAATACAACAGCTGACAGTAATTTAAGATTGGCTTATATCAAAGGATTGCATTTCTACACTAAGTTAACTTCCATAATATGATCTTTGAAATCAATGTTTTGAACCTTAGCTTTAAAAACCTAACATTTTACAGTACTAGATACCAGCTGACTAGTTCTACTTTTTTAAAAATTAATCATCTGACCCCATAAATCAATCAGAAGTCAAAAACATCAAAAGCAAAAATCTACAGAAGCACTACATGTCCCTTCATAATTTATTTCTGCATCTCCAAAACAGCACAGGTAAGTAATAGGGACACTATTACTACTGGAACATAATCAGAAAAAAACAACACCATTGATACTGTAGCATTTATCTGTATGCCAACAAGAGATTTTTACATATAAAATCTATACAAGACTCTATAACTTGGTTCTACATTCTACCTCGAATTTAAAGAATTTTGATTTATCCCAACATGGCTTAAATTTTAAACTGTAAGATGATTTTAAGTGAGTCAAGATACCTGCTTCTACTGAGATATTTCAATTAAATGTGCATTTGAATAAACATACACTTTACAAGCATGATCTCATAAGCCCTGACCTACAGATAGAGATCAAACCTAAAGAGAGAGATCAAACCTAAAGATAGAGATCAAACTGCAGCTAGAAATAAATGGTGCTAGAAATCAGAGCAGATTTTATATTCAAAGTCTAAACTCAAAATATGCATCCTGTTTATGAAGTTCCAGGTTTAGAAAGAAATGCCAACAGTAATAAGTAAACAAACCGTCCTGTAAGTAGCTAAAATTCTTCAAAAGTGCTGAAACAAAAGACAAATTTGACTACAATGGTATACTATTTCAATAGCAAAACATTTTATAGGACTTGAAATTAAATTGCCTCAGCTAGTCATTGGAATGAAAGAATGCATTTTCAAAGTTGTTCTGAAGTAAGCTACTCCAACTAAAACACAATGGAAAGGAAAGAGCCTGAATGAAATAAGCATATAACGTTAAAATATTTAATTCATACTAGCCCCTGAGTTGGGAAAAAAATCAGATCTCATTATTAGTATTTACTCTGCAAGAATAATATCACCAAGGGATGTCAGCATTTACAACTGGAGACAAAAACAGCACAGACTTCAGAGAACCTACCTTCACAACCTTGAGTTACTCACTGGGGTTGTAAAAATTAGATGAGGTAAGACACCCAAAGTATTTAGCACAGTTGCTTCGCTTAATAGTCCTTAATAAGAATTTATTTCCTATCCACCAAAACAGTTTCAAACTACAAAATCTTTTTCTAAACAAATTCCTTTTCGGGCACAACTTCTACCTAAAGTGCAGAGAAGTAATGAATACAACACTTTTAAAACTGCCATCTTGAAGACCATAAAGATACAATAACTTAAAGACTCTTTCCAAAAATTACATTGGAGTGCCAAAGGCACAATTTCACAACCTGGTTAAAAAAGTGGTAAACTAATTAGAATTGTTAATGGGTCCAAAGCCAGCTAAATCAGGGACAGTTAAAGGTCAAATGCGTCTAAGCTGGGCGCGACAAGCTCCACTTACACGTCTTTGCCTCCCACAAGAACTGGGGACTGAATCAAGGCAGGCGCGGCCGAAGTAGAGGCGAGGACAGACCGGGTTAGACATCGCCCTCGGGGATTTCCTCCAGAAATAAAGACGATTCTACCTAGAGTCCAGTGACTTCATGGGAGACCCCGGATTTCAAGAGTTCTGGCCTTTCCTTAACCGCACGAGCACCGTCCCCGACCTCCAAGCCACCACCACCACCCCGAGCCCGCGGCGAGGAAACGAGTCCCCAGCGGATCCAGCCTCTCCGCCCCCAACTCCAAACCCTGGGCCCGGGAGGCTGAGGCCCGCGCCCCACCCCGGCACCCGCTCCAGCGGCCCCGGCAGGATACTGAACACAGTCCGCTCCCAGGGCTCCAGCATGTAAAGCGCCGTGACTAGCAGGTACTGGTAGTAGAACCAGGACATCTGCTTCCAGGCCCGTGCCAGCGCCATCCCCGCCATGCGCCTCCTGCGATGCAACCACACGTCAGTCTGTCCCGCCGGCTGCTTGCCAGCGTCCTAAAACCCAGGCCTCCAGGCCCGCCCGCTCGCCACCCCGAGCCCATTGGCCTGTCCGGCCCTGCGCGTCACCCATGGCACGCCCAGCCCTGCGCGCGCCCGAGCAGTCGCTGCGAGCCCCGCCCGGCTGGCGCCCATTGGCCGGGTTGCTACCTTCGCTCCCTCACCCACCAGTCTCCCCCCAGACCGCGCCCCCGCGAGCCGAAGAACGGTCTACGCGACCGCACCCGGTACACGCAACGCGCAGCGCTACGCCCCGCGTCCCGCCCCTCCTAGGCCTGGGCCTGCCCTGGCCTTGAATCCGGCTGCGAGAGCTAGCTTTTTTGGTGGTCGGTCCCTATAGACCCTCCCAGAAGCGCTTATGAGAGAAAAGAATTTGTGGAATACTTGTTATGCCTCAGACATCTTTCTGGACAGCAAGATTACAGGGCTGAATGGGAATGCATTCAGTTCCTTACCTTGTGCAATTTACAATCTAGTTCTAGCAAAGAAAACAGGCATTCACAGGAATGCAAGCAAAGCAGTGATCTGTGCAAAAGAGGAGAATAAGGAGATCAGAGAGAGAATAAGAGATCAATGTCAAGGAGGTCTGGAAAGGCATCTCTCTAGAAGTGATGCATTAGATCACCTCCTCCTACTTCCTCCACCCATGCACGGGCATGAAGACACACTCATGTAAGCCAACATACCCATACACTGCTTAACCTAAAAACAACAGTTCGTTATAAAATTTTTTCTGACCACCTCTTTAGGGACTATTGGGACGGACAGTGTATGTTGGTCAAGATCAAGAAAAGCATGCTGATCTAGTGGGTTCTGCAATTGATAGGCAATTTGAGATCAGTATGTGTGTGGTTATATCTCCTAGAGATACATTTTTTTTTTAAAGAGAGAGTGAGAGAGAATTTTTAATATTTATTTTTTAGTTCTCGGTGGACACAACATCTTTGTTGGTATGTGGTGCGGAGGATCGAACCCAGGCCGCACGCATGCCAGGCGAGCGCGCTACCGCTTGAGCCACATCCCCAGCCCCGAGATACATTCTTAAATGTCCTGATTTTCTTACTGGCAAATGGACTGGGAACCTTCCATTCTCCCTCAGGAATGCCATGCACTGTTAGCATGCAAACTGACACAATAAATGGACTGCTGTTAAAACGTTGAGAGTTTCTAGGTTCAATAGCCAACTGTTAAACTTTAAAACTTTCATGATTGATAACGCTTTATTTACTTAGAAATATCAGGTGCTGTTTATGAACTAAATGTTAGGAATAACAAGGCAGATAGACTGACATCTGCCTTCATTAAGTACCCAGTCTACTAGGGAAGAGAGACAAATTAACCAGCTACAGTAAAGGGTATTTTTGTTGTCTGAATAGCCTAGAGAACATCAGACTGGGATTGTAAAAGATTTCCAGGAAATAGTGCTTGAACTGAGCATTGAAGGTAAGTAGAAGAATGAATGAGGTGGGAGAGAAAAGGGTGCAATATTCCAAGTTCAAGTATGTGGCACACCTGTATGAAAGCCTAATTTTTGTTGTCCAGGGCTGAAGCAACCACTGATTGCAGTCGGGTAAGAAAGCCAGGACCTTCACTCAAGTTTCTCAGTTTGTCTTTCAAATACATGTTAATAAGAAGTAATCTGTGCCTGAGCAAAGTTCAGCTCTGAGTGATTGAGTGATGCAGATTTTGGAAGCAACCTAAGTCTATGCAGACCACCCAACCTCCAGCCTTCTTCCCAGAGAGGAAAAGGGCATAGGAAAGCATGTTAGCCCAATGCTCTGGCCTCTGAAAAGTGGAGCCTTGGGTAAAAGCTAGTGGCACAATTAGTTCTGGGTTTGTGTGTAGAAAAAACAGAATGCAAGCTATCATACCTTTAAAAGAAACACACACATACAGAGCTACATAGCTGTATTCATAAATTAAGTCAGTGCCTAATTCACATCTAATAAATATAACTTAATTCAAGCAGCATTTATTAAGCACCTGGTTGCTATATATTTTTGCATTTGGGTGAGGCAAATAGTTCTTATTTGGGTAAAACAAACACTAGTATTTACCAATTTTTATATGTTTTTTATACCAGAAGAAACAATTGTTAAATATCTAGCACTTTGTTCCACAACAGTTTCAGAGCTTCTCAAACACTCCTGTTCTGCCTCTCTTCTCCTGGACCAATACTCTGAGATCCTCCAAAGAGTCTTTATGAGCCTTCCCTCATGCACAAATATCAGGACCCTATACTTAACATCTTGCATTTCTTTCTAGCCTCTGGAGTTATCTCTAATCTATAAGGCTATTCCCTCCCTTAGACAGTAGATATCACATTCTGTTACAAGTCCTAAAAAGTCTCCCCTCCCTCCACCTCCACCTTCTACACTCTCCAAACACTCTCAGCAATCTTCTGTCCTCATTCAACTTCCTCCTGCACTCCCTTCCCCACCCCATTTGCTGACTCAAATCCTTTTGGGAATTAGAAACAAATTACCAAGCTATTGTCCTCTTGCTGCTAAGTACTTAACAACTGTGGTGATTGATACCTATAGCCTACTCTTCCCAGGTATCTTGACACAGTCCCAGTCACCCCTCCAAAATATACAAATTCTGAGTGCTCTCTCAACCCTGCACTGAAACCATTTATCAAATTTACCAAAATGTCCTTCAAGCCAAATCCAATAAAGTTGTTTTGTTGTTGTTTTTGTGGTGCTGGGGACCAAATCCAGAGCCTCACACATGCTAGGAAAGTGAGCCATACCCCCAGCCTCCCATGAAGTTTTAGTCCTTGCTCTTAGCTGTGCATGGTGGGACACATCTGTAGTCCCAGCTACTTCGGAGGCTGAGGCAAGAGGATGACTTTTTTTTTTTTTAATGTTTTCATTTATTTACAACATCTTTGTTTGTATGTGGTGCTGAGGATCGAACCTGGGCGGCACGCATGCCTGGCGAGCATGCTACTGCTTGAGCCACATCCCCAGACCCACAAGAGGATGACTTGAGCCCAGGAGTTCAAGGTCATTCCGGGCAACACAATAAGACCCTGTCTCAAAAAAGGTCTTTTATTTTATCAAAAAAAAAAAAATTGTTCTTGTTACTCAACTTGTTTATAGCATTTGACACCAAGAGTTTTCATCTTCTAAAAATTCTCTCAGTCTTGATTTATGCCACACTGTACTATCCAACTTTCTCCTCCTTTGATTCCTTTAATAAAGCCTATTTTCTTCCCCATTCCTAAAGATCTGTTGGCCCTTCTGTCTCTCCCATTCATGCCTGCTTCTCTGTTTGTTCTTCCTTCCCTTTGGATCCCAAACATCACTTCAGGTATTTATTCTGACTACTGCAGAAAATATTTATATATAGATGTGTCGGGCTGGGGATGTGGCTCAAGCGGTAGCGTGCTCGCCTGGCGTGCGTGCGGCCCGGGTTCGATCCCCAGCACCACATAC